ACCCGTCCGCAATGCTCCAATGTGTAATAACTTCGTATAATCAATGAACGGTGCAAAAATGAGGTCAAAGTTCAACTTGCATTTGTGCGGGTAATCAATACGATTGGGTCCATGCTCCCGTGTCCTGATCATTTTGCAATCTGTCTCCTTCTTGCTCACCCATCTGAAATGTCGGATTGTTTCTTCAGTGAATCAAGCTCTATCTGAATAAGACTTAATTTTTGGATAATAGTTGTGTCGCCTATTTACGAATTACCAACATTTACAGCTGCTAGATTATCCTTTTGTTTCAGTTTTCCCTATGTAAAGACCCGCATACGAGTTGTGGAACGAGAACAAAAAGTGTTGGAGCCGATCCAAGTGGCAATCGAGGATGTCGAAAAGAAAACCAGGTGATTGTAACGGTTTGCCGTTTACCCGAAACGTTTTTTGCTTTTTGTGTATGTAAGGGGCTAATGTCTCTTGGGATTGCGCAAACCTTTTATTGATGCCAGCAATGTTTCAGAGAGCTTTCGGCGGCCATTGCTCAAAATCCACCAGATGCAAAAATGCTCCAGATGGTATTGCAGGGATGTATTGGTACAACTGTGAATCAGGGTCCAATTCAGGCAAGTGAATTCCTTACGAAATTGCGCCTAATTATAATGGGCAATATTTGAGGTCTATTTTCAGGTGGCTAATGTGTTCTTGACAGATATAGCAGTAAACGAGAATGGTAAACCAATCGATAAGTTTCAAAATAAATTGAGACTTTGCTTCCATGATTTCTCAAAGAAATGTGCTGATGCATTGGTTCTGAACAAGCAGCTTATACTCCCCGATCAATTGGCTTATCAGGTGTGTTCATTTAAAATCCTTGGATATCTAACGATGGAGCGGAAGTGGCGTAGCTTACCACGCGAGCGGTCCGGGGATCAAATCCTGGGTCGTGAGTCGCCCGGGCCAACCAAGCCTTCCATCCCTCCGGGTCGGTTAATTGGTACCAGACTTGTCTGGGAGGATAAAAACACTGACTTGTACATCGGCTGGCCCCAAGTCATTGTATAGGCCACATCGCATTCAAACGCCACTACGAATGTACAAATGGAAGTAGAATGCGTGCCGCATCCCAAAAAGGGATTGATCAACGGCAAATGCTTTATCCTTTATCTATCAATTGTCAGTTTTGCTTACCTGATTGCAAATTTTTAGCTAAGAGATGTGCAGATAAGGAAAATTCACGAAAATATGAAATGTACAATTATCGATGCACAAATACTAGGACACATTTTGGGCGAGCGGCGCGACCCTCGGGGATCAAACCTTGAGGCGTACATCGCCTGGACCAAGCAAGCGTTCCATCCATACGGGTCGGTTACATAACTGGTACTGTCTGCAAAGATAAAAACACTGATGCTTAATCGATTACTGACAACGAACACCGGATGGGTATGCTCGGTAGCGGGTAAGGGATGCACCACGGGCTGGGGAGTGCTGCATACCGCCCCTTTTCTTCCCTTTATGGTGGTGAATCTGTTTATTCTTAGAGTTGTGTTTTAATACGTTGTTTCAGTCTGAACTGCAAAAGAACTATGTTGAATTCACTCGAAAAATGGCTCCAATTATGGGTGGAACTACAAGAGCTAGTGATCGTAAAGATTTGGTCACTAACGCAGAACACGCGTTAGCTGTTGCTGCAGAGATTCCTGTGACTTCTGTGTGACGAGTTGTAAGGTTTTTAAGATATGTTTGTTGTTTTTATGAGAACTATCTGTTATTATTTATAATATTATTCGGTTGTTAATATGAACTAATATCTCATCTGTCATGAAATGGTCAGTCTTTTATGTCCCGTCTCGAGGACAAATTTGTGCCAGCAATTCAGCGTTTTTATGTTCGATAGGTACTGTAGAAATTTCTTCATCAATGATTACTACAAGCTGCTGTGTCTCTTGATTTCTTGTAATTTATGTACAGCCAGAGGGGTACAGCCACAAGATGATCACGCGAGCGGTAGCGTCGCTGTATATAGTGGTTATGTACAGCCCGGACATGCCAAAAGTCCGGGCTGTACACAGCCCCTGTATTACATGTACGCGTACGTCAGGAGTTCTGTGTAGCAATCCCTAATACTGTGCTAGTTCATGTTTTCCATCGCCCAGTCAACGTTATCAACCACGACGCAACCGCCTGTCTCATACTGGTCGCCTAACACTTGGCTGATGAGTCGCGCAGTGCAGGTGCATATTTGTCCCGTTTCAATACGGGCTAGTCAAGTGCAATGTTGTTATATTTCCATTATTTAGTCTAGGTGCTTCTACATGTACTTCTTTTACCAGCCAGATCTTACATTGATTCCGGCTTTACGGTTAAATTGAGGATGTTTTTCATGTTTCATTGCTGATGAATCTGCATATTAGTTGCCCAGTTATATTCCATTGTTTCTATGCGTTGCTTTATTGATTTTGTTCTCATCTCTATGCCTTGTTCTCGCGATGGTTGCCTCTACCTATTTGACGGTGTGCGTCTAGTTTAGCTCAAATCTCTTTGTACAAATGCCGCGCAAGTCGCACTAAAAAAGAAGAGCAATGAAACCGGTTACTAACTTATTCGTGAATGATTGTATACTTTAAGTTTGAATCTCGATCTATGACACATCGTACTGCATAATGACAAGCTTTGCCTTTCTTATATTGTATAGGTTTAGGTTGAATTTATGATGTAAATATTGTTTAGGCAATAAATTACTCAAAACTTCACCATTTTTTGTCACGTTCGGTTTGATCTGATAGTTATTTTCGAGACTGCTGTCAGACCTTCTGAATGTATTCGGAAAACTCTATAATCTATTTACGTAACCAAATTGTAGTGCGATGCCGATGCTTCCACCCACCGTTACCATCCCCCTCCATCGGGCCGAGTATGGAGATCACGAAGGTAGCTGTTTCGTTCAAGTGACTCATTATATCTTCAGCTTATTAATTCTTTGTCGCACACCTTCCTGCACAGTTTTTTTTTCTGGGAATCTTATCAGATACCTGATTAGGTCCGAAATCAAGTTTGTTCCTCGGGAGAACGCTTAAAGGCGGAGTTTACGATAAAAAGACAGCCCACTAAAAATCAAGGAAGACGTGGTCACTAGTGCAGGGAAGAAAAACCAAGTAAAACAACCTAGCAGCTGAGAAATGCTCCCCCACTTGCCAGATGGTTTGCGCATCAGGCGTGTCTCAACAGTGTTGACCTCATTGACGCTACGCTCTCGCTGCTAGGCGGCTTGAGCCAGACGGCGAGTAGGTGGGCGTATAGCGGCGATAGTGGCGCGGAGACGGCCATGCCAGACTTCTGGGGGCATATCCTTCGCTGCGAATTGCGAGTGAGTTCGCGGCCTTTGCGGGTCCGCCTGTTTTTCCATTAGATAGGGTTTCTCTTCTTCAATCCCCGACCTTATCGACCGAAAGAGTTTAGAATAACCCTCCTTCAAGTGTTTTGGAGTGTCATCGTTATTGTTTTTCTCTTTTTCTAGTAGCTGTGACTACAGATTGCCTTCAAAGTATCTGATCTTTAGTGGACTCCGAGTACCTGTTCAATCCCGAGGTGCTAACGCCGGACTTGGTTGGTACAGTGACAAATGGTTTCCTTGTCAGGCCTCTGAAGATGAGCGATTATGACAACGGGTGAGTTGATAACTTCCTCAGCCGTCTACTTTGACGATGAGCAGGGTTATTAACAAGTACCATGTGGCTGATGTGCAAAATCAAAAACATGGACTTAGTAAAAAACGAATGCGCAGCAGGGATTGTTTTGACATTGATGTATAACTTTTGTTCTTCAAGGTTTCTTGATGTCCTTTCGCAATTGACTGTGGTTGGTGAGATATCTCGCGAAGATTTCGAGAGCAGATTCAAGTCAATGAAGATGTGCTATCCACCGGCGTACTATGTTGTTGTCATTGAGGATTTAAGGTTACAAACACTTCTTCCATTTTTTTAGGTTTCGAAATAGTTGCGGTCATTGTAACACAATAGAGTTATGCAGAGCTTTTGATTTGGAAACAGATTGTTTTTATTGGCGACTTTCTCCGTTTCCTCTCCCTCATAGCCAATGTGTATACTCTGTCTCCCGCTGTCGGGCCTGTTGTGATTGGAGACTCAATATTACGCATTGCCATAGCTCTGAAAATGTGATATCAAGTGTACTTTTGGTGATCTTGAATGTAATGTACGCATGTGTGATTTCAGCATAATTTTGCATTGCCGATAGGCGCGATTGGGAACAGAATTGACATATGAACTGTCGTAACTTTCAAGCCGCCGCCCAGCTACTAAGGAATAACTTCTGTTCTGTTATTCAAAAATTCATGGATTTCAGCAACGGCCGCGTTGTTGGTGCAGCAACATTAGTAATTGAATGGAAATTCATTCATCAAGCAGGATGTCGCGTCAGTGTTGAAGATGTGGTAGTAGACAAAGATATGCGAGGGAAAAAGATGGGCGCTCTACTAAACAGAGTACTCGTTGGACTTGCAAAAAAGGTTCGTCAAAAGTGTTAGTTAATACGCTGTTATCTCACTTTTGGTAAAGCGGGAGTCAGTACGTCTGCCAAGGAGAGCAATCTTCTGCTTCAAGGTAGAGGTGAAATATGGATTTGGTTATGAGCTTTCATTTTGATAACACTGATCGTCATTCTAGAATAATGTATTTTACTGTCTAATCTACACATAATTTTGTCTGACCTTAAGGTTGGCGTCTACAAGCTATCTCTGGAGTGCAAGGATTCTCTTATTCCATTCTATGAACTCTACGGATACTCGAAAGATGTCGGCAACAATTTCCTTGTGCAGCGATTTGACAAGGACAATTCGGAAATCACTATTCCGCGTGAGGATGAAAATGAGGACGGGACGCTTCATATACCTAGCAATATTTGAAATTTTATCACTTTTCCTTTTATACTCTATTTCACTTGTTTGTAAATTTGAATTGAGCTTTTATTCAACGGTTGTTTTTGCATAATTTGTGATAGAGCTTCTACCTTCCGCATAATTTGTAACCTTTCATAATACCGGTGCCTAATCAAGAGTGGGTTGTGAATAAAGAGTTTTATGAATATTGTCAGCTGTGAAGATTGAGCCGATTGAGTTGTGTACTCCGTTTATACCTGATCAAAAGTACGGTCAGATTAGGAGATTCCCGTTAAAGGCTCGATTCAGATTGTCCGATTTCAAATGATATGTCCTCGGTGCCCTCACTAGCTGCTCTAGACCATACACATTTGAAGTGGGACAAGGAGTGGATGTTTCATAAGCTGCCTAAGGTGAGAAATCTTGTAGATCGAGGTGATCCTGTGGTGGTGTGTCCACTTCCTGTAGTTCTTTTAGGACAATATTGAAATCCCCCGTCATCATCTTCCAGACCCAGAAGCCGAAGCAATCCCTGGTACAACAAAGCAGGTACTTTGTTTCTCTCAGTTGGTCGTCTGGTAAGGCACACCAACGAAGGAAGAATAAGAGCAAGAGTGATCATAGAATCTGGGTGTTATGACGCTGATCTAGCAGGTTTACGCACACACCGAGTACATATTCCCTCCTTTTATAAAGTGTTCTGAGTGAGGGTGCACGTGCATCGCGCGGATGAGCAAAAGCGACGATTGCGGTCACCATGGAAAGTTATGATGTTTGTTGATGCCGTCTTAGAGCCATAATCACTTTTCTGGCGTGGCTTACATAGAAATTTTGTAAGCGGTACAGGCAGAGGATTCAAAACATCTTGACGCGAATGTGAGCGAAATCTTTCAGGGCATTAGACACCTTACGTGAGAATTTGTGGTCTCCATGTACTCGTTTTTGAATATAAATTAAAAACAAATTGGAGGAGGCTTCATCGTAGGCTATGCAGTCAATTGTATGTTGTTATAGGAATCCCTAGCCGACCTCGAACGTAATTGGCTGGAGTCCGGAGTGGATAGGATTTCTATGGATGCGGTATCCACCGAAAACAATCCCGTATAAAGTCGAAAAATTGTTTCTCATGCTATCCTAGGTAGTTTTTTTTTTTACCCAAGTTTCAACCTTTCAAACGAATCTGCTAAAGGTTATCTATTCAGTTTATCAAAATATGGGTAACGAGCAAAGTGCAAGTGGGGCTTCTCCTCAACCGTCGTCCAACTCGGCGTTCTCGTTTTTGTCTGGGAGAGGTCCGTCATGTTCTTTTTTCAATGTGTAGTTAATAATGTTACGAGTTCTGTCTTCCTGGCTCAATCATTTACTTTCATTTTACTTTCACTGATAGCAAGCGTTCAAGAAGTCTGATGTTTAATACGAAATCCTAACAACGACAGGGCAGGGGTTCTGCCAACGTGAAAGGGTTACCATGAGTTGCAATGTTGAAAATATGGGGTGGGAGTGGAGGGAGGAGTGTGACAGTCACAAGTGTAACTGTCAGTAGCTGTTGTGAGCGTTCTTGGTTCACGTGCTATTTCACTTAACTTGGGAAAAAGTGAGCACAAAAAAGCATAGTATATTGCACATCTGCATCCTCCGTGGCCTCGCAAAGTTTGCCATTCACAAAAGTGGACTTGGACGAAAAAAAAAATGGTGCATGTAGATTTCACAGTGATTTGTAGTAGGAGCGGTGTCGGGTATTTTTCTCAGAAATCGTGATCTTTATTTTTCCCCTTTTCCATGTATGATCCAAATTAGCTATCAAAAATTATTTCATTTGTCATGCTCCCCTTTCTTTGTAGGAAATTCAAAGAAGTCGAAAGGCATCGTCGTTGTTAGCGGTGGTAACGCAAAAGTGGAAACGCTGGAGGATGACGAAGTCTATAAGCGGTTCAAGGTTAGTTTCAATTCGGTTTCCCAAACTCACGTCCTAATTTGTCCACTAAACGACTCCGTTTTCAAGGAAATTCCTCGTTTTCTTCCAATTTTTCGACATGCCATCGGTAAGAAGGACGTTGCTCAGAGCGAAATCCAGCATAAAATGAGCAGCAGGCCGCTGTTTCGGTACGAATTACATTGCTCGATACAAATTTCCGGTGAAGCAACGCCACACATTCCAGAATGGCGAACACGTTTTCAACAGCATCTAAAAATTTGCGCAACCACAATAGTTGCAGACCAAAATCAGATAAATCAGGCTATAAGATCGGTTAGTTACTATTTTGTCTGCATCCAAGATATTGTTTAGTTCATGCTGCGTGATTAGGTTGTTTCAGGTAGATGCCTCTACTGTTGCTCTCACAAACCGTCTCACCGAAAGAAAGAAAGCGACTGATAACTTCATCGCACACCTTCAAGAGCTGGATAAATTGCGCGACGATGTAGTTCATATCCAGGTCGGCATTTCATTTCATCATATTTGTTCGTTTACTTTATATTTTTATATTGATCTATTCAACTGGCTTCATTCTACTTATTTATAGATCTCACTGATGGGAATTTTTTTAGCTGCTCTTTGAACATCTCGTTCCAATGATTGAGACAATAAACGAGATACTGGTGCCGTCGGAACGTTTACCACCTCTGTCGTTGAGTCGTGTACTCAATCGTACTCCCGTGTCTACCTCTGAAAGTTCACAGCAGAGCACTCCCAAACATGCTCCTGCTGGTGGTTCTTCACAGTTGCGTTCTGCTCCTGCTCCTTCTCAGGATAAAAGCTCTCACATTTCACCCATAGAGGAAGTTCGTGTTGTTGACAGGAGAAAGTAGACCAATCAAGCGTGTTCACTATCGTGTATAATAAACATCTCTCTCTACAGGTCCCTGGCGAAATACTCTTTTTATTCTGTTCGAGTGTTTATTGCATCCATTAGTTTCTTGATTTGCGTTTTACATAGACATGCGTGGAGTTTGACATATTCATTTGGCTTTTTGAAAATATTTTGAAGAAAAGTGGCGATTTCCACCCACTCTGTTTCTTCCTTGGTCTTTTTCATGAATTTTTTTTTCAGTCGTTACCCAGTGTTAATTGATTTGCTGCTACTGCTCTCACTTGCGTTGTGATTTTTTGTCTATTGTATTTTTGTCGAATGATGTGTGATTAGTTGTTTTGGAAATAATGCCATATGCATTCAGTGATATCCTTGTAAAGAATAAAGATTTTGTCCAGCTAAATTTAGTTGTATTTTTGGTTTTCCGCACAGTACTAAATAGTTCAAGAACGAAATACAACTTCGTTAATACTATTCAGGCGCTTGGTTTCAAATCATGAATGAACCGGATCTAAGTTTTATAAAGTCGGACATAGATCTCTCAGAGGTCAGACATTTCTTTTTTTCCCTTTTTATTCTACTCTCTTCAAGCTGCAAACGAGTCAATCGTCCGTTGTGCGCTTTCAGCATTTTTCACGACCCTCTTCTTGGGGAGGTTGGACGCGACCTCCCACCATACCACCAGCCGAAAGGGGTTCGCCTGTGGGATCCACTCCTCCTCAAAACATAAACCCAGCCAAGCCCTCAGAACAGGGCTGTCACTAAAATCGGATAAAGCAGACAACTATGTGCTGCATTTACCATTCATACCAGTATTCCTGAAGTATGTCGAAAAATAAAAGCGACTACCAATGGCTTCCCTCGAATGTGACACCTCGACTTCGCTCACCGTGACATCCTCTAGAATCCCATTGCTGCTTTTAGCCCAATGGATGGCTGACCTTTGCTAGAAATTAAATGGATGGATCGGGTCCATATGACGCACATGTAATACTAGTGATACGTACTAGCCAGTACGAGGCTGCCGGTTGTTCTGGCTGCTGTTGTGCTGACAGGTTGCAGCTGGATGGGGAAGACAAAATTTCCCTTTTGAGGTAGCTCCGCTCAATCGACGTCGTGTTGTTGCGTTCGTGAACTGCTACCTCTACAAGATGATCGATTTCCTCAATGCTTTTGCAAATCGAGCGGAACGTGCGATCTCTAGAGGCAGAGCGGCAGCTTCGTGCCGCTGACATCAAATTGCAGTTATTGGAGGCTAAGGTATAAAAATTATGAGGCTATAAGGAAAAGTCTTGCTGTTCTTAGACTTTCAAATTTCTAATATGCATATCTCGGTTCGAACAAAACATCTTCTATCGAAATAAAAATTACAATCTACATACAAAAGCTCAAAAGAGGAAAGCTTGATAAAAGCAGTTTCTCGCCTTGATGGAGTTACGAAAAGCCATAAACTGCGGCAAGACATTAGCTCCATCTCTCTGAGGAAGCTATCCGTATCATGGCAGTCGGTAGGCTGGAGACCTGTTTGTAAAAACTTCAAAGTTTCAAAGCCTGTGCGAAGTTGGCTGTGCATAGCAGCTTCCTGGATAAGGATCAGCAGCGCTCACTCGACTCGACTTTTTTTGGACATCCCATTCTTCTTCGAATGCTCCGTATCGCTTATTTCGGACGCGAGCTAACTCTTGATCAAAATTTTTAAATAATCTTTGTCAACAATGGATGTCTGGCCACCACCACCATCATCTTCAAGGTTCTCGCCATTGCAAAATTACCAAACTACCCATTGGGTAGCATATTTTTATACCCTCTGTTTCAGAAAACTAGAAGCGCGTCGAGTGCAGGCCACACACCACTTCACAAAATGTAAATGTTTTCTGCCAATGAAATGATTAGCCTGTTGCAGTTGTATTCTATCAGTTGTCACTAATTACAACTATCATTTACCAAAAATCAGCTATCACTATGAACCACTACTACCAGATTTACTTGAGGCCGTCGTCACTTGTGGTGTGCCATCTGCACTCGACACAGTTCTGGTTTTGAAAACAGAGGGTAAATTCGGAACCAAAAGTTTCCGGAAGTTTTTAGAAATCACTTCAATTTGAAATACCAAGACGAGCACAAACTTCCCTTACAATGTGATAATTTTTCTTTGAATTTATTTCTCATGGGACTAGGCCATGTACTATTCTCGCACGAGTATTGGGAGTCGATCTCGTTGAGTGTGTTTCCTATTAGGTTTCTCTAAGCATATATGCAGTTTGACATGCACACACAAACCTTCCCTACCATCAGCTCCCCTTCTTGTGGGCGATCCAAGTTGGGAAAACAAATTAATCCTATTTGATTAAGTATTTCCACCAATCCCGGCTCGCATAGCATACCGCCCCTTACCCTTTTTCAGAATGGTTTAGCTTCCCTAAAACGAGATGCTTCTTGTGCATGCTTTCTTTAACCCGCGTTTTAGAGACTTCAACTTTCTACTATTTATATGTTCTTGTTTTCTACTGTTTTAATTCCAAATTATTATTTTTTAGTTAGCTTCAATACCAGATTCGATTCCTGATACCACGGAACTGCAGTCAGAAAGCTCACGTCAGACGGCTGCCTTCTCTCCGGCGGGTTTTCATTATTTCGAGTTTCTGTGTTTTTTTTTATGAAGTTACTCATGTAACAAGCTTTTCCTGGTCTGAATTGATCAGCTTGTGGCCATGAACGCTACATAGGAGATTCTCTATGATGATTTAGGCACCACCAGTTGGGAATGAGCCGAAGGTCGCAGCTTCACAGAATACAGACGTAAAGGAAAATCCACAGGTGTTTCCTCAGACTCTAAAGGTTTTGGTATCTTACCTAAAGAAGTTCAGCATTGTTTCAGGCTTGGCTATAGGCTTCAAGTAGCTTGAAGCCATCCAATCGGAAAAGGACACAACTGAGAGCAGCGAAAAACATGCTCTAAAGTGCTTCTCGTCAAAGACGACCCAGCTTTTGCGAAATATTTCAGGATGCTTAAATTGGTGAGGTTGTATGGCTGCGTGAGCTTTCGTAACTCGGGGTTTTATTCAATAATTGTTCTTCGAAGAGATGGAAATAGCGAGTCAAAATTGGGGCTGTTTTCTTTGTGAGTGTTCTGCATTCGTACATTGTGTTGGGCATCAGGAAGCTGGCTGTCATCCATACATTCAGCTGATGCTTCGAAAGAAAAAAAATTATTTACGAGTTCACTGGGCAGATTTCAGGGTGTCGTTGAGCCTGCGGTGAAGTTGAAGATGCAAAGTGAAGGAGTGGATCCATCCATGTTAGAGTGAGTTATATGTAGATGGAATGTTTGTTAAGGCTTAATGGTGAGGAGATTGAGGTTCAGAACGCTATCTCCTACTCGATCCCTATATTGTGCGTATTATGCAGTCGATGCAGTCCCAGCATTACGAGCCATTTAACCCCAAAGTGCTTACAAGCTAATGCAGCAAATCAAGTAGTTCACATCTGTCACAATAAGGTGCTGGGGCGAGGCAAGCATACAGTTTCTTTACGGTTCGGTGGATAATTAATCAGTTTAAGCTTATAAGCTGCGTTAGGGATTACCAGTTAGTAGGACTTGATGACCGTTATGACTATAAGGTTGCGGTGAGGGTACATATATCCATGCAACTAGGTGGAATAAACTGAGCCTGAGGGGTTTCAGACAGAATTTCAATCCTAATTTGCCTTCATAAAAGGTTGCTATGCTTGTTCCGCGAATCGCTCTCCACATTTCTGAAATTCTCAGAAAGGTAGAGCATCTGTAATGCGCCCAATAAGGAGCTTGGTCTTTAAATGATGACGTTGATCACCAAATTTAGAAGATTCTGAGCTTTGGCACTGCAACACCAGCACTATTTAGCAATCCAAATGCGCCTTCGCCAAATGCTACCAATCCATCACAACTACGGAATGAACCAACAGTGGACTCCAGCGAGACTTCCTCAGTATCGTCGTTTAGTGATTCAGATTAATGTTCCACTTCGCTTCACTTATTCATGAGATTCGGATGTATTATTTTATTTGTTTTTTGGTAAGTTTATGACTTTTTCAAATTTAGAACTATTGTATTCGGGTATATATACCTTAGCAACCTAATAGGAAGAGGCAGCCGTGCCTGATCATCTAGCGCACTATGCAAAAAGTAGGGTGTGCTCTCTAGAGACTCAAACTGTGCAACACGGAATGTAAAAATGTTGCAAACTTTGCTAATTCGTGTGGCACATCAAAAAATGTTAATAATCCTTAGAAACTATTTGTGGAACAGAAATCATTGTTTAACATTTTGCAGCGATTTACAAAAGTGTTCTCGTAATAAATGCCTTATCCAGTTCTCGTGGTGTGCACACACATAATTTAGAGTTTAGTTGTGATTGAGACGCTTCAACTTGGGAAGAACCACCTAATGAGGCTATTCCAGTGGAAAAATGAGGCTATCCTGTGACAATGGAGGTAGGAAAAGGGAGTTGTGTGCGAGAAAGGACCGAACTGTTTCGACGCCGTTCGAACTACTGCCCAACTTGTAGTTCTTAAGTAATTCTATGCTACGCTCCACGAGAGAGTGGAGCTGACGGTGGCAGGATTAGTTGAGGTGTGTCGACGACAGTTTTATAACTAGGTTGTAATCAGTATGGCGTAACAACATGAAATAATGATGATGGAGCCTCGCCTTTAGTACTTCTTCTTGTTGCCTTCCATGTTGGTATTCATGTTAACCAGGCGAGAGTAGCCCATCGGGTTCCATAAGTCCTATTACGGCTGTGTGGACGTAGTGCAAGTGTTGGAAATTCCTGTATGACGTGTTTTCTATAGACGGTTTATATCGTTATGTAGTGTGCCTCAGGGGGAGGAGGACAGCCAGAAGAACGGCATCTAGGCGTAAGCTCTGGAGAGTACGAAAACTGCTAGCGCACTCCCCCCTCTTCTCTTCTAAGGCTCAATCCTAGAACTGAGCGTTTATGGGTTGCCCTCCCCCTTCGACACATTGCGCTTTTAAATTGTAGTAAAGCGGCCTGGTACCCAAAAATGCTATATCATTTCCCTAAAACATCTCTTTATGTGAAATGTATGACCATACATGTGCGAGCTTATTGTTAAAACGTTACATATGGCACACACGATGGTCATTTAATATAACTTTGTTGTGTTGTTGTTGCTTATGTTTTTGTTGTGCTTACGTGATCTTAAGCTCTTGAGCACGCACCAAACACCTTCAATGGAAGCATTTTCGCCATTGAAAGCATTCCAACTCCACGAAATTTCGGCGCCCCATTGCCATGGCGCCACGCCCTTGGCGTCGTAAACATCAGTGTGTTGTCTGCAGTTGCACGCGCGAAATCTTTCTTATTCAAACACAGCGTCAAGATTATCCAGTGAAATAAATAGGTGTAAGGCGAGTTTGGTCCTTCCGCTTTGCTAGTGGCTTTTTTGCACTCGGTTCTAAGGAATAGAAGACCAGAAATGAAATGTCTACGAGTGGCAGACTACGGTTAAGTGTGAGTTTGTTTTAAGTTCTTTTCAAATGCGTAGTTCCATCCGTACAAACTGTTGCATTTTATTTGCTTGTTTTTTAGGACTTCAAGGACTTGGAAGAAATTGGTCGTGGTGGTTTTGGAATTGTATATGCTGCAACGCATCCTAACGGAGAGCGCATAGCTCTTAAAAAAGTACATCTACAGTTTCAGTATCGCTTTCAGTTTTCTTCTTGTAATAGTGCTTGCGTGAGGATTTCTTCAATTGCTTTTCTCTCAACAGATTTGTTCACGAGCGGCGGCTGAACGAATTAAGGGAGAGATCCGTGCGATAAGATGTATGCGTCATCCTAACATTGTGCAGGTACGGTATTGCACTTTTATTAGCATGTGTTCCTCTCATTCATCGAAGAAATTTAGTTTTTCGAAGACTTCATTGATGGCAATGATACATATGTAGTAATGGAGTTGTGTGAGCTGGGCTCCATGCGATCGTACGTCAAGAAGAACGGACCTCTGAGTGACCGAGCAGGTTTCATTCTGTCCTTATGTCGAGAACTCTTTCCCAATAAATTTTTTGACACCTTCAAAAATCACCAATAATTCGCATTCTTTAGCTGCGTATGTGCTACGGCAGATTATAAGTGCAGTCAAATACATGCATCGTGAAGATGTTCTACATCGAGATCTTTCCACTGGAAATGTTCTTATTAGTAGGATTTTCTCTCCTGAGAAGATATCTGTGGTCAGTCTTCCAGCATTTTTTTTTCAGGATTCTATCGATTCTTGCCAGTACTAGTCGTTTCAGAAGTTATGCGATTTTGGCCTTGCAACACATCTTCGAAAAGGAGAGACCGCTTGCACGGTAGTAGGTAGTCATTTTTGCTTTATCCGGCGTTCAGCAACATTTCAGCTCTCGCTACAGTCAGGTCTTCAAGCAGGAGTACGACCAAGCGGCAGATGTCTACTCGTTAGGTGGAGTTCTGTACACAATGTTGACTGCCAGTGACCCTCCATCGAAAGGTATTACAATTCATATCAATTACGCTCTGCGCTTTCCGTTTTTATTGTTCAACCTCATATACTGCACTGTAGGTCCTCTGCGCTTTGATGGCCTTGGAATCTCAGCCGTTGAATTGATCGAACGCATGATGGAACCGGACGCTGGGAAACGAATATCCTTGAATGGTACGTGACGCCTCTTTTTCGTCCCACCAATATCAGTTTACACCTTTCCTTGCCGACTAATTTTTTATTCTTTAACACATTGCGGACCGCCCTTATACGAGCATCTCCACACCTTTTTCATGTTTTTAAAAAATGAATCATCATTAATCTATCAACAATTTTATCAGTGATGATACTTATGCTTTCCTGGTTCTGAAAATGAGTGCAAGCACTTAAGGAGCATTGAAAAATGCCAAATAAATCAGATAAAACTATGATCTTCCGCTCCAAATCGTGCGCCACATGGTGGCGCACGTGGTACGCAATGTGTTAACCTGTCCACTGCAATCCCTTTAGTCACAGAGCACCTCCGATTACTGCATGATGAGATTGACTTGATTTATTGCTTTTATTTTTTCAGATATTCAACAGTCGACTTTCATGATCGACTACTGTGATGTAGCTTCAATTTCTCGAGACTGGTCTGCTATGGGTGATCGTGGAACTTCTGTTCGATCCCGTGAGCGGCGACACTCGCGAGAGTATTCAAAAGAACGGCGAAGTGGCTGTGAAAGGTCGCGGGAAGTATGTTACCTGTACCATTTTACTGAATAGTCCAGTATTGTTGTTGGGGGTGGTAATCCTTAATTTCATGTAATTACATGGAAGTTTTATAGCTATCGGCAATGTAATTTGTTGGAAATTTCAATTCTTCAAATATTACAACGTCATTAATTTCAATTTTTCAATCACGTTAACGACATTTGATCGGAATGTTCACCACGATACGTCCAATTAATCTGGCGTGATTGATATCGCTGAACATTTGTTTTGTGTCATTCATCGTAGCTAGGTGGAAAAAATTCACATAATGTGAGGCACTCGCAAAAGTTCGCCACGTGGCCAGAAAGGCCGAACCGCGCGCTTGTCAACATGTTAACTCTTATTGTGCGAGTGTGACTTTCCTTCTTAGTAATTAAGGGAATTCTGCTGAGGTATGTTCAGGTCTTTGCAGAGTAATGGAATGAGCGTAGGCTGAGCAAGCTTGCTTTCTAACCATCTCTTCTTTTAGCGGCACATGGTGATGAGCCGCGTCCTCGGAGAACTGCCAGTAATCCTCCTATTGCTTGTGGACGTACTAAACCTATCACTGGTGGCGGTGACAGTGGAATCGACACGAGAAGCGGCGGAGAGGTAGTTATCATATTTATGTAATTGGATTTCTTCATTCCCTAGTTAGTTCAGAATCAAATGATTCTTTAGTGGTTTTTTTCGCGATAGTGTTTCTATCTACTGTACACATTCCCTAGCTCCTGGTCCTATTTCAACTGAACATTTTTACATTCAACTGGAAAAGAAACCAGTAATGAGTTTATCATGAATGTTCTACTGCTCGCTCGTTTCATTTTCCAACTAAATTTCATTTACGGCTTTTTTCTTGTTAGATCACTTTCTCTTCTTTTTCTAATAACTAGCATTACTGCAACCGCGCACAGATTGAATACGGCAAAGAGCTGAGATGGGAAGAATTAAAATTCCCATTTGGTCACTTTCTTTCCTTCAGCGTACCAATCGTTTCGTGCTTCTTGCTAATTCCTTTGTTGACTTTAGCGCAGGGGTCTTCGATGGAGTGCAACACGAAGCGCTGCTTCCCATACCGCAGATGCGCAGCGAAGCTCTCGGAATGACAGCGAACCTATATGGCCGTTGCCTATTCGCAGATGCGGAGTGGCCGTTGCCTATTCGCAGATGCGGAGGAACAAGGTTATTGTCGGCTGCAGGAAGAGTTAGTTGTAAGCTTATACCACACTTGTCATAACAAGCTCATGTGTTTATTTGAGATTTTTTCAGTATGTTATTGTGGACGATAACTTGCTGATATTTGAAGTGGCAAACAAGAGTGGTTTCATAGCCAAAATTGTAACCGTTTCGATTGATGGTCGAGGCAAACAGCAGGTAAGGTTCTTGGTGAAAGTGTTACAATATCACATTTTGCAGCTGTAATCAATTAAGGTCACGTTTGGCAAACCGCTGCATTCAGAAGTGAAGCGGCCATTGGAGAATGACAGTTTGATAGCAGTTGATCGTAGACACGAGTCTATGCCGTTAACAAGGTGATTTTTGTTGTTTTGTTTGGTTCTAAGGCATGGAGGGAGGACAATAATGTCGTTTTGTTCTCCGTCTGAGGGCATGTGAAACTGAAGGCAAACTAGTTCTTTGAAATGCCCGTCTTTATTTGTTTTCCGTTTCATTCCTTATATTATCATTCCTTATGTTATATCACTTCCACTAAATCTACTTTTTAAAACCAGATCGCGGAGATTGCATGAATACGTCTGCGCGAAATTTTTACGATAGTTTATTATTTTTATGTCCGCACATTGTATTTCAGTAATAATTAATCAATACTAACTTCTAGCAATAAAGAACGTGACGTCCCATTTCTGCAAATCACTACATGGCTACTAGTATCCTGGTGCAGTACGTGGTGGTGGGCAATGATCGCAGCCTCCACTTTCTCCAACATCTCCCAATGGACCAGGTTGGCCTGGTGGACCAGGATCTCCTGGGGTGCCATCCTTCCCGGGATCCCCAGGCGGCCCTTGAGGCCCGTCAGCTCCTGGAGTACCGGGCTCTCCTGGTGGTCCATCTTCACCCTGTTCGCCGATAGGTCCTGTAGGTCCAGGAGGGCCATCTGGTATTTGCACTTCTTCGCATACACCAGGTGTACCTGGTTTGCCTGGTGGTCCTGGTGTGCCATCGGTTCCTGGTTTTCCGGAAGGACCAGGCTTACCAGGTTGCCCTGGTGTTCCTGGGTTACCTTGCGCACCGTCAATACCCGGTCTTCCATTCGCTCCTCTCAGTCCTGGTCTTCCCGGTGGTCCTGGCAGTCCTGCTGGACAATCGAAGCAGAAATCAGTTGCACTGGGTATCTCATTAATCCCTGCGTCTGGTCCTCGTTCTCCTTCAATACCGGGCAAGCCATCCTTCCCATCTAGCCCGTCTGGCCCTGGTGGACCTGGTGGACCTGGCAGTCCCATTCTGCATGAACAACACTTTTCTTCCTTTTCTTTATGAAAGACCTTTTCCGTAGGCGCATTTGTGACATCACCTGGAAAAAGCAAGTAAAAGAGCGTATAAAATCTCAATACGTATTTTTCTTGCACGAGTTCGGTTGTCGTACCAGAATGAACATCCCGACTTGCTGTCATAACATTTCTTTTGGTTGGTGATTTTTTGTAGATTCCGATAGAGTTTTGCATGTCTTCATATTGTGTTAGTAGTCCGCTTGAACGTTGCCGGCAAAAGTCAACCTAAAAAACTACTGCGATACGCTTCCCTTATAAGTGTTTAATGGTAGTTAGTCGTATATGTGTCAGTTAGCGTGACTCTGTGGGCCCTCATATTTCCTTGGTGTTGCTTCGTAAATTTAATTGGAGAGAAGACTCAGGTTAAAGTTTCAAAAACATACTACGCAGCATTTGTTGATCTACGGGAAGTGGTTCTGCACAGGTTCACTATACCTGCGCTGAAAAAAAAACGCAGTAGAGTGATTGCCTTAGCTACTACTGTCTGTAAGACGGGCGTCAGGCTTTGTGCGAACGATTGCTACGGTCTCGCGAGATTTGCTAACGATTCGATTATCAAATTAATCTGATCGATTAATCGCCGTTCCGTCGCAAAATTGCGACCATCGGCCTATGTATGGTTTCTTGTGCCATCTTAGAACTGTTGATGCGCGCATGTCTTCTAATTTGGGCCAACAGAGGAAAACGTGCTGATGCGTAAAGTAGCAGGCAGAAAGTATGCGGTTCTGCATTTTTTTTGGCCGAGAACTTTGAGCCTCGCGCAAATTTCCAAACAATGTTTGGGAGCTAACTGTTAACCATAATGCGATGTGCGTTATTTTAGAGCAATACTTGCTGATTTATCAGGAAAATAGAGGAGCGATGGTGGGGAAGGGGAATGGATTCCAGTTGGTAAGATTCATTATTAATGAACTGAAGCTTAATAAATTTCATGCGATTTTCAATAGGATGCGTGCTAATTCAATTAGTGGGCACCACGAGGCCGCGAAAGAGAGGCGTAAGATAACAGGTTGTAGGGGGCAAAAGTGATTGTTTATGCTAGTTGTGCTTAAATGGGAGATTTGCAAGCTGGTTTTGACAAGTTTTATGTAGGTGGAGAATTGAAATGTGAGAATTGTCTTCTTAGCATAGGGGATACGGAGTAATTGTTGAGACACTTGTCCATTTGAATAGTGATCGCAAGCTCTATGGGACCGACAAAAAAAAAACGTTGGAACTTCAAAAGCAGATTGATCTTGATTGGTAAATTTTTAATATAGTATGTAAATTTGATTCTATTCAAAACTGTACCATACTTATTGGCAGTTATAGACTGTGACCATGTAAGTTGTAGTTGTAAATATGAGGGGGGCGGGAATGTACATAACTATACAAGTCTATAGTGCTTACGTGTTGACTGAATATAAAATCGAATTTCGATTCAGGAGTGCGGTCTAGAGAGTCTAGAGGAGAGAAATATCGTGACCACACTACCGATACAATATACAACGAAGGAAGAATCTTTCGGAGCAGGCATCAACTTATCATGCAATAGTTGGAAATGACGTCAGATTTCGTCTAGCTCAAGTCCGATATCTTGGGCGTCCTCGTCGTGCCTCGTTGCTATAGCGCAGAGATCGCCCAGACTTATCAGGTTTTCTGTTGCGAGTGGGAATTACTCGCGGATTTGGCAGCGGTGTCATCTGATCAGTTCGGGAACGGTAGTGCCAGAAGACATATTGTCGTACGTTGCCTTTTTTTAAAAGACCTTTTTGTGTGTAATAAGGTGCAGAGCCTCTTTAAAAACGGCTAACGGGTCTGTCTGGAAATCATGGGAATCAGGTTCATAGCTGCTGGACTCGCTACGTTATGGTAGGTGGTCGTAAATTAGACTCCTTCCGCTCAATCCTTTATGTGGACCGTCATAAACTTAATCGAAAAGTCGAGTTGCAGACCGCATCAGAAAAACTCAAAGTTTTGGCCTCACGCTTGACCTGGAGTTAGTCTGAAGTCGTATAAAAGATGTCAGAGAAACTGTAAAGATATAGACCACTGTAAAGTGGATTATTAGATTGTTATTAATAACTACCTGTTAATGGTCGCTCGGTTATTTGCTGGGGTTGTGTCAGTTTCGAATAGACCGTGCCACCTCTGTGGGTTGCCGTTCTCTGTGTTTAGAGTATCGCTACAGTTACTGCGTATCAAGTTACTGGCATAACTTGCGCAAGACGGAGCGAAACGAGCCGCTTTTATTATTTCGTTCCATACATGCTTGACTTGCAGACGAGGATCTGATCATCTGAATTACGGGCTTGTTTATGTTTGTCGTCATGAGATTCTTGAACGGTTTTTGCTTGCTAATAGCCCTTAATAATGTAATTACCGTCCCCATTCACGTTCACGTTTTTCAGCTATTCGTCGATGAGTCGCCATGAACGGGATCTTTACGCGCAAATAGCTAATGCTGTTGAGGCAATGCGAGGACGAGTGGACAAAGTGAGCTATTTACGCCAATTATTCTCATCATTGATCAAAATTCACATTATCGCGATTTATAGGTGGTATATCAGCGACCTAGCCAGTTTCCCAATGCAGTCGCTAAAATAATGGAGAATGGCGCTTTCCGTATTGTCTTCAGAGATCGTAAGTGTGACATCAGCTATTATGAAGGAAGAAGCTTGATTCACTGCACATTTTCAGAGCGTCGGTTGGTACAGAAATCGGGCTCGAGAGAAGTGCAATTACATTTTCCCGATGGTAGAAAGGAGGACGTGTCTGATAGTGGGTTTCAAAGCATTGTTTGTCAATGTTTCCTCTTGAAAGGTGTTTTTAAGCGGATATGCTGGATCGATTCAACGACGTACGAAAGTTCCTACAAGATGTCGAACGTGTCTGGGAGCGTCAAATCGGTCTCTTTCCACTATCGTTCTCTATTTCCAGGTAGAATGAAGCTCACATCTCTTTTTAGAATTCTCGTCTCATCTTATTTATCCCTTCTGTGGTCGTTCTATGAATATCAAGAAAGTAAAGGCAAAAAAAAACTAAAAGAACGAACCCTTATGTTCCAGAGATACGGCAACCTCTCCTCGTATTGCTCACTCAGAAGTTCGTGTGCCACTTGCTGTAATGAATTCTCAGGCTCAGGTGATTAGTGTACATTATGATAAGAAAACTATGAATTTTGATTATGTTGCGATATTTGTTATTTTCGACATTATTTCAGTCATTACTAACGCAGCGATCTGCACCAGCGACTGTAGGGCCGCGTGGGAAAATTTCGTTGGAGTCGACTAAAGGATTGTGCGCAGGGATGCGATTTAAAATTGTGAGATTTATTTCGTTTAATGTGATTGTTATCGCCATAGTAGATTGAAGACGCACGATCTCCGTTTGGGGAGGTTTTTTTCCACCGCCGCGTCTTGAATGAGAGTTATTATTCATTAATGATTATGATGTGCAGTCGTCCCCAATTCATTATTTTCTTCTGCTAGGCTTCCTGTTTTCGTGTTGTTATGTTTTGATTTTTTTCCTCTATCCAAAGTGAGCAGATTCAGGCAGTATGAGACGACATCAAGCAATATAAAACTCCCCTGTGAATAAAAAGTAGAATCTGAACAATGTTAAACGAGAAATAGATTCACTTTACGTTGAGAGATGCATCACGAACACAAAAATAGTCTATTTCTCTCCTTACAAGGCATTATTTGAAGTATAGTGTCAAATCAGTGGAAACGTAGAAGATGGCAAGCTTGACGAAGGGGTTCCTGTAACGACTGCTTAAATTAATTATGTTCACATTATGGTTTAAGAACAAGAACAATGAAGTGTGCAGCGTGGAGTCGCCAGATGGTCGCTACCTACGAGTATCGAGTGTTTCGAAATCCAGATTTATCTATCGATCTCAGCCTGGTTCATCTGAGCAGAGGTAAATGGTTTCATTACTTCGCCGGTGTATGCTTTCCTACTCTCACTGACAGGCTAGCATATGGGCCTATCTTGATTGGGGCGTATATAAGGTGCATTAGGGGCGTCTGTGAGAGGTCAGCAATACGTTCCTTATGGCTATTTTCTCTAGTAACTTTACTCAAATTATTTCTAGCTTCTCTTCAGGTTCCATGTGGGTGATGATGTTTATCCGAAAGGAGCACGTGAGCTCTACGAATCTCTTCAACTAGAGATCAAACGTCGAGAAGCACTTTCTTGAAGGCGAAGCAAGTGAGAAGGGCTCGCGTATGATCTCGTGAGAAAGCTCCTGGGATGTCTTGTCGACGGGTATAGATCACTTTAGCATTACTGTATGATGAGGCCTTTGATGTTCAATGATTGTCGTCTTTTGCTTTCATTTTCTGAGTACTAGCTTGGTGAAATTAAACGTCGTCCTTTCTCTTATGGGGTAATCGTAGTGCTGAAAGCGTTGGCGTTCGGTCATACATTTTTTTTTTTTGCGTTTTTAGGTCTTTTTTTTGTTTAAGCGACCTTGTGAATTTTATAATAGCTTGTGTGTTACTTCCACTCCTTTCGTCAATCACTGTCACAAAATCTCTTTCACTTCTGTTGCCCTCTTTCCACTGCTGAGATTACTCTGATTAGACAGAGTATAAATCAAGGTATATTGTTCGTATGGTTTTGTTTTTGACTTGCTAATGAAGAAATAGCGATTTTATGTATTAAATGATCTTCAAGTCTTATAATCCTGTCATATTTCGATGAGTGTTCCCAAAGAACATTTTATAGGCACCAATTTTATTTGTATTATTTTTACTGAGATGTGAGTGCTGGTATTAGAGGTGGTTCGCAGATTTGGTTTCTCGGGCTTGCAGTGGTAGGTTCCTGGAAGGTTTTGGCTGGCAACGTTTTGCTGCCCGTTATATGTGCTCTTCAATTCAATTCGCTTTCTCTTTCTGCGAATTTCCAATTCCTATTTCCTACCAGTAGTCTTCGATTCATTGAACTTCGCTTCTAGGAAAGTAACCTAGGGTGAAGGAGAAAAGCGCAAGACGTCAAGACGTTCCGGTCATGGTATGCGTCCACATTATGATCTGATTGGGGTGAACCGTTTCTGTCCCATACACTAGCTTGGGCCTCACGTGAGCGAAATTGCAGTAGTAGTCATTGAAGTAGGCGTAATTCAAACGAAAATGTGTGACAGTTCTCACCCAACATTCTATAACAATTTGTAACCTATGTTTTAGCGCCATACTTATGAGTACCCAGAAATCGGAGAATTCAACATCCCAGTAGATCACCTAAGTATTTGAATTTTAAAATAAAGGAGACCTTTACGGTTCCTGAAGTCGTTAACTCTTTGCTAATTTCTGATAGGAATAAACAATTTATTAAGCTTCTGCGTGGTGACTGATCCTTCTCTTACAATCATTGGTAACATAGCAAGCTACTTTTCAAAGGGAGATATTCGCTCTCAGGAGAAACCTCAAGGGTTTTGGGAGTTTGATGAGGCAGTGAATGACAAAAGCTTTGAGTTTGCCGCCCGTCGAAGCTCGTACATGGTGTCTGCCTGCTGTTGTTTTGGCAATTGGGCACGAGGGTCGAGTCCCAGGGAACCTCACTGGGCACAAATTTACATTTATATTTGGTGGAATCAGTCGTGGCACCAAATGGCGCCAATTTGGCGCCAGCGCCAAAATGGATGTCATATTCGTGATCAGGACCCTCGATAACCCCCATAGCAGAAGTTTCAGCGAAAAAATTTGTTTCCATCTCACCCCCATCTGGGGTTGTAATAGTGCAATAGTGCCATAAATAATTATTGGTGAAGAAGATCCGAACAGTGTGACCAGGTGAAGGTATTCATTCACATGGTATTG